TTTATTTTTAGTTCAATAATATAATTTTTATAAAAATAATAATTAAGTATTTTGTTAGAACTTGATGATTATCTTAATTATATTTTAGATTTTTTATATTTAAAATGAAATGTTTATATTCTACTTGATTATATTTATCTATAGTTAATTACACGAATTCATTCAAACATAAAGCTTTAATAAGTTGTACCTACGCACATTTTACTTTTAATCTTAAATTTTAAGTAATATGCATCAATAACAATACTTAATGTATACAAAATAATTTTTAAAAGTTTTTATCAAATATTTTATAATATAATATATTTTTTATTTTTTTAAATGATTGTTTAAAAATTAAAGAAAATTTTCAATCTTTATAAACTGAGTATCAAAATGATTAAGTTTAAACAAGAAACTATTTATTAAATGCTTAATGTATAAGCGTTTATTGTAAGAGACATCACCCTTATTTATATATCGTGTAACATTTTTTGTCATCAAAATGAATTGTTGGTAAACGTCTTAAATTCTTTAAGACGCTTACCTGGTATGAGTCTTTTCCCCCACTTATTGAATAAGGCTCTCGATCCTTACTATACCTCTTGCCAAATAAAATTATCAGTCTTTGTCATACTCAATCAACAAGGTAAGTAATATCAATAACTACTGATCCAATAATTGTTTAAACTGTCCATCCTTTTGTTAGTTTTTATTTATAAAAGACATTTATGTAAATATATTTAGAATTCCATATTTCTTAACAGGATCAGTTAAGAATAAAAAAAAAACCAAAATTCAAACACAAACTTCAACGCCAAGACCGGTTAAGACTCGGGTTGAGCTTTAAAGGACCAGTTATACCATTTATGTTCAACTATGTTTGACGAGACCGTATTTCAAAAATCGATACTCACATAACTGTATGTAGGTCGATCATAGAGTTTATAGTGTAAAACTGAGGTTTTAAAAATACGTTACCTAAAACAAAAATTAAATTAAAATACGTTATTTTTTTATACAAATTTTAATCGTTTAGTAAACCTAAGTATCCCGACCACCCACATATTCTTTTGTGCATCTTTCCTTTTCTTTCACCCACAATAAGAATTTTAAATCACAAAGTCACGTGAATTAAAGGAAAAAGTAAAACCAACAGCTGTCCCCTAACAATTACACCCTTTTTCACATTTACCACCTTACTTTCCTTTTTTACAAATTTAGCCCAATCTATTGTATTTGTTTGCAATCAAGTCCATTTCATCCATTATCGTATATAAAGAATAGTTGTTTTGAATCGATGTTGAATAACCCATTTGATATTTCGATTTGCATGGACATTAAACGAAGATACAAAAAATATGTATGATGTTCTAATACTCAATTTTATCATTTTAGTACAAGTATTTAAGAACATATAACAAAGAACGTTCTTTTTTTTAGTTTTGTTTCCAGAATGTTAAATAGCACTTCATATAAAAAATGAATTTTAAAAATTTCAAGTCATTTCATATTGTGAAAATATATAAAAAAATACAGTCATATACTAATATTAGACGAGGAGTCAAGATCACTAAGGTTTATATATGAAAATTAAGTATATGTCAATAAAATTGTTATATACATCAGTTTTAATTCTATTGCATATTTTTCCGTTGTTTCTCAGTAGCTCAGTGGTAAAGCAGTCTGCTGGTCGTAGGTTCGAATCCTACTTGAGAAAAAATTTGGAAATCACCATCAAAACCGGTAAATCCGAGATAACAATAAAAATGCGTAGAGATCGTAAATAGTACAAACGACGAAAACACTTTGCTACCTTCTTTCGCGTCTCCTTCCTAATAAAAGTCGTCTGGTTTATCTTTTCCACACTGCCTGTTTGTACACCATCAAATTATTTACACACATTTGAAATGGTATTCTACCCCTGTTACATTACCTACTTTGGTTCACATCGCGTCATGCACAAGCTAAGATTTTTTAACGAAACAACCACTCAGTGTAAGTGGCTAAGGTAAGGTCTGTATATATTCCATCCCTTTTGAAAGCTATTTTTGAACGAGATATACTGGGTTACTTCGGTTTGGTTTTGTTTATATACCGATCAAATATTGTATCTTTCTTTTCTAAAAGGAGAAAATAACAAGGTTTCTAATTTGGGTGTGGTCAAAATGAAAAAGAAGAAAGTTGAAGTAGGTGAAGTGCAAATAAAAGAAAGTTGAGGACATAGTAGTAAAAAGATTCCATCCCACCTCCCTTTTTATTCTTCTACTCCCAAGTCAGCAACCACTGAACAAAAAGAGAGAGAATCAGAGACCGCTGCAGAAGAAGCAGAACCCACTCAAATAAATTCTCATATTTAATTTTCACAGCTTCCAAGCTCTCTTTCTCTCTCCCCCACAAGCTTATCATCCTCAATTCTTCAAACCCTAGCTTCGATTCTTCATCTAATCTCATGGGTTCTTCATGTTTTCTGTTTTAAACTTCGAGATCAACACAAATTTTACAGCACAAAGAATGGCGTCGTTGCTCACCTCAAGGTACCTGATAACCCTCCTCTATTTCTTGACCTTTTGCTTCAAATCCCTAATCGCAGACTCCAATTCGTCGTTTTCTTTTAACAATTTTGGATCGAATTCAAGTTTCGAGTCTGTTCTTGCACTTTATGGCGATGCAAAGGTTGTTAATGGCAGTTCGTCTCTACAACTCACTGCTCCATTAGTTTCTAGTGCTGGTAGACTGATCTACAAAAACCCCATCAAGTTCTATAGTGGAATTCCTAAGAAACTGGTGTCTTTCTCCACGTACTTTTCGTTTTCGATGTGGTCGGATTCGAGAAATGGAGATGGTTTAGCTTTTGTGGTGTTTTCAGATGGGTATCCTGTGGATTTGTTTGATGATAGTGGTTCATTTGGGCTGTCAAATGGGGATAGTTTCAAGTTCTTGAGTGTTGAATTTGATACATCGATGGATTCTAAGTATGGTGATATGAATGGGAATCATGTTGGTATTGATTTATCCAGCTTTGTATCTTCGAAAGCCGCAAACCTATCTTCTCTCAATTTGGGAGTCAACAATGGTAACAGATTGCAAGTTTGGATCGATTATGAATCAAGTTCAAGAAGATTGGAGGTCAGAATTAGTAAATTTGGGGAAACCCGGCCATTCGATCCGTTGCTATTCGAACAAATCGATTTGCCTAAAATCTGGCCAGAAAATGAGGGGTTTTTCGTGGGATTAAGTTCATCAAATGGAAATTCAACGCAACTGTGTAATGTGTATTCTTGGAGCTTCAAAACAAGGCAATCACCAGATTGGATGCATTCTGAACCCTTGGAGCCTATGGTTTTCAAAGAAAAGAAAGAAAATGAGATCAAGATTCACAAGGAAAATGATTGTGTTATGAGGATTCTTTCTGCCCTCATACTCGGGATCGGATTAGGAGCTTTAGGAAGCTTTATCGGCATGTTTATATGGACGATATTCGCAAACAAACGACCGATTGCCCCCGAAGAATATGCTATGACTGCTGTGGCCCATGATAAAGTCTCAGTAAATGAGAAGCAATAGGTATGTGGTTTGGCTAGTCGATTAGATGTTATTTCTTGTGAATTGTAAATGGATTTTGGTTGTGGTGATCCCTTTGTAACTGTGTTTTTGTTATCTTGTTACGATATTTCGATGATGAAATCGTCTGAATATTAGTGTCTGTTTGTTTCTAGTCATGTTATGAACAAGATTTGAGCTTTGTTTAGTTTTCATTGTTACTGTTTCACTTAGAAAGCTCTGTTTTACCATCTTGATGATGATATGTTGATCTCAAATGACATCAAGAAAGTTGGTGGTGGGGTGTTAGTGGCATCTGAATGGTGAATGCTTTCTTGTGGGTGTTATTAGCTTTAGCATGTAACTGGTTTCTTACTTGATAACCAAAAAGGAAGAAAGTGCTGATTCTGATCTCGAAAAATCTATAGAATCATAATAAAATATACTTACCCATTTCAGTTATCGGGAAAAGTACCAGAAGGTCCCAAGTTCAAATCCAAGGAGGAATAAAAATCCTCTTGTGGCCAAATGCGGTGACTCCGTGCTATCTGCAAAGCAGGTGGTTGATCTGGGATTAGTCGGCTCGCATAGCGGGTTGGATATCCAGGTTGATAAAAAAAATGTGGTAGAAGAGTGTGGATGGAATAAATGAATATAATGTATGTGCAAAACTCTTTATACATGTTAAATGGTGGTGAAACAACATAAGGCAAGGAAAAAAGGAAACCTTAAACTACCCACATCTCTGTCCAACCTCGTATTCGCTTTGTTCCTAAAATCTACACTATAGCATGGGGACCAAAACTATACGTATATTGTACTGTACAATCGATCAAAACGAATGAATTTAATCCCGTATGTATACGCTCAAAGATATCAACGAATTGGATCCGAAAAAAAACGATCTATTTTGGTGACCGGAGCGAGTTTCCATGGCTCGCTCTTTGGTCACTCAAAACATGGCTTTTTTTCTTTTTCGAGTCACTGCAAATGCACCCAGGAAACGGGTTTGCGTAAAAGCTCTCTTCCAATTTCGGAGCCGGACCCGGTTTCCGCTTGTACGGTGCACCCAACCGATCTTTATGCATTGTTTTCACTTCGGAGCTAAACGTCTCCCACGAGATCTCACCCTCATCCAACTGATCGATCAGTTTAACAAAACCGAGCCGGTCAGGGCTAATCGTCTTGCGGAACCCTTCGAACCTGCGGTGCCCTTGGACCGCCTTGGCCATGTTCCCGTCGTACGTGTACACAAACACATCGCTCTCGAGGGCCACGATGTAGTCGATGGCCGCAAGTCGGTTTTGGTACATGTTAAGAGTGGCGAGTTCTTGGGGTGTGGCGAGGGTGGAGTGTGAAAAGACGTTTGGGAACTCCTTACGGAAAGCGTCCATGCTGTTATTGCCGTAGATTTCGCCGGCTACGATGTAGATTTTGGTTTTTGTAGGGTACCCCATGGCTTTAAGGAACAAAGCAGCTTCTCTTGGAGACATTGGACACCCTCCTTGTTGTCTCTTTTCTGTGCCATTGATGTCTTTTTCTTTCCAATGCTTCACATTATACCTCATTGTGTCAAGTTCTTGAGATTCTTCAGTTGTTAGGTTATGGCTGCACCCTGTGAAGGCCAGCATGTCCTTCTCATACCTGCAAACCGATCGACCGTTAGCTTTGTTACCACAAAAAACGCCATTCGTCACAAAAATCCCGATGCAAAAAGCGATTGTGGAATCCAAAAAGTGCCCTCCAACGAAGGCTGAATGGTAGACTTTGGCTCTTATACCATGTGAGAGTACGTAGAACCAATCAAATTGCTGAGAGAAAGGAGGTTTCAAGGGAAATGATGATTTGATTGAAACAAAAGCTTATAAAGTACCTCAAATGTAGTGCGATAAAGGGATCGCCATCGCTTCTAAGTCTATCCACAAGCTTTTTCCCAAGGCTCTCGATTTCATCGGAGTAACGGAGAGCCTCGTAGTTTGCACGACATCGAAGCCGCTGATAAGACGACGGGAGGCCATTGTTGACGAGCCTCGAATCGGAATGCGTAAACTGGATCACTTTGTGTTTTCGTAACAATGCCTTCATCTCCCCTCTATAATAACTCGCCTGGACCGTCAAAATTAATCAAAAAAATTCAACTACGGTTTTTTTAACTTTTTTCACGGAAACGAAGAAAATCGGTATAAACGAAACAGAAATTATGAGGTCATACCTTTGACCACGAAACCGGAGCCTTGACAAACGGCTTTTTTGCTGCGTATTGTGGTGGTAAAGACTCGACAATTTCGACATCATCTTTCAAATCATCGATGAAATGCCTCCAACCGAAAATGTCCTTAAAATCACTACAAAATACGACAACACATCAACAAGTGAAGGTACGTTATTATCGTTTCACGTAACTTCAACTCGATTACTGTTTTTACCGGAAACCAACTCAGTAACTTTATACGGTAAAGTTGTAGTACGCACCTAGGATCTGTCCAAAAAGATTGGTGATCAAGAGATGGGAGAACGAGGGTGGCGTTCATCATTTTTGCGATAGCCACCATATCACATATCTGATACACGAATAAAATCAACCGATATCAGTAAAAAAAATACGGTAATTTTGTTACAGTTTCCAAAAATGGAAATTACTTGAGACGGTAACTCACTCACCCCTGTCCTCATTTGATTCAATCCACCGTTGGCGTGAACTAGAAGATATCCGGCTGTTGGCGAACTCTTTTCTATAAATTATAAAACAATTTTAAAAAATAAAATTTAAAATAAAATTGGATAATAATTAATTTGCAATAAAAATAAAGAAATAATATGACTTACTATGATTGTGAGGTCTGGCAATGCATTGATGATATCGACTACTGTTTGGTTTCATCCATATTTCTGGTATCTGCCAAATTACAAACAAATGGTTATTATTTGTTAAATATTAAAAATTTAATTAAAATACACCTAACGTTTTTTCAAATTGATTTTTTTAACATATTAACTTTTGAGGTATTTCTTTATTAATACAAATCAATCTCAACTTTTATTTAATGAATATTTTGATTATTTCTAATATAAATTATTTAATATATACTATATTATAAAGCATTTGACAAAAACTTTTAAAAATCATTCCTTATGCATGAAGTACTGTGTATTAATACATATTACTTAAAATTTAAGATTACAAGTAAATTATACGTAAGTACAACTTATTAGAGCTTTATTTTTTAATTTGTTTAACTAACTGCAGATAAACCTGATCAGATATAGAATAAACATTTCATTTTAAATATAAAAAAAATCCAAATATAATTAATTGAGTTCTAACAAAATCATTATCTTTATATAAAAATTTAAGCTAAAAATAAATTACTTTACTATTTGACCTAAATCGAATTATAATAAAAAATTCAATTAAAGAAATTGTAAAAAAAAATAAAAACTATTAAATATTTAATTTGATATTTATATCGATATATTTTTTCAAATTTTTATAATATATTTAAATTAATTTTTATTCAAAAATAAAAATATTATTTTTCTTAAAACCATATAAACCATATTATATCAACAAAAAAATAAAACAAAACATTAAAATGAAAATGTATCTCAATGCATTACACGAATATCATTCTAATCATTGTAAATAGACGTTTGATAATTTTATATAAATATTTAAATGATAATAAATAAACTTTTATTTATAAATTTTTTAATTAATTAATTTATTTGTAGTGATACTCACTTAACTTCAGAATGTCGTCGACGACTCGAGGGTAAAAAAGTAATTGAGTTGGGAAAAAGGCTGCATATAACGGTCAACTAAATATCCACGTGGCGGGCTGTCGACACGGTTTCCTTGGTAGTGATTTGTCAAAGCAACAAGACATTCCACGAATTGAATAGTCCAATGCCCATCAATTATCATAACGGAACAATTTATTAAAATAATTTATTTTTTATTTGTTTTTCCGAATATTGGTATATAGTTTTTTAATTATTTAATTATAAAAAAGAATTTGATAATAAACAACATATTTCATTTTTGAAGTACATGAAAATTAGAATCATAATATAATTAATTTAAAAAACGAAAAATTAAATCTCATAAATGTGTTTAAACTAATAATTAAAAAAAGACAAAATTAATTATTAATGATTAAAAATAGAAGAGAGCTTACAGGAACATCGAGGGACTTTTCTAAGATCCTTATGGGCATGGAAGAAGCTGAAGAAGAATCAATGTCTGCTAAAACTCTTTGAGCCTTCAACACCTGTTGCTTATAATCCCTCAAAACCAACATCTGATCGTTAGAAGATCTCCGCCTCACCGCCTCTATCTCCGCCACACGGCTGCCGCCCATGTACGAGAACTTCACGAACGCACTAAAACCCACCAGAACTATCAGGATTCCAAGCAGTGTACGCTTCAGATTCTTACCTAGTTTCCCACAAGTATGAATCTCCGCCGACCCTTTACGGTGGAGATGGTGGTGGTGGTGGTGGTGGTGGTGGCTGGTGGTGGTGGTGGTGGCGTTGTTGCAACTACCGAAACAATCAACAGATGCTTCCACCAGACAGTCATTGATGTTCTGATGTTGCAGGTGTTTCTCTTGCCCCATTGTGTTGATGGCGTCGGAATCTGTAGACGACGCCGGCGACACATCGGTGGTTGTTGGCTCGACGCCACGCCGACGGTGGGCTGATACACCCCCGAATCTTGGACTGCCGGTGGTGGTTTTGGGGGTGGCGCCACCGGTTGTCATCCAAAATTCTTGATCACCAACAAGTACAGGTAGAAATAAGGATCAAAATCGAGAGGAGGATGGGAGGAGGATTATGATTATGATTGTGATTCCGACGAAGAGTAGTGATTGGGCCTTTGGATCGATGAGAATAGAAATAATAATGGATTTAATACAGAGGGCGAAAAGGCGAGAGTGGAAGGAGGCGTAATAAAAGGCGGCCAACCCAAGAGGGGTCTTATTTATTATTAATCACTGGTCGTTCCTTTTTCTACGCGTACTACGTTTCCTAATCACGAATGTTTTCTTTCTATATCTCCACCTTTTTACACAATTAAGTCAATCATACGGCTAAATTATGCAATTGATATATTTTACTTAAAAATCAAGATTACAAATAAATTGCGTAATTATAACTTATTAAAGTTTTATATTTGAATTTGTGTAATTAACTGTAGATAAATATAATTAAATAGAGGATAAACATCTCATTTTAGATTATAAAAAATATAAAATATAACTAGGATAATTATTAAGTTTTAACAAAATATTTAATTATTGTCTTTATAAAAAGTTACCTCGTTAAACCACAAATAAAAAAATGAATTAAAGAAATGCGCAAAAAAAAGAAGATAAATTTTAAGTAATTAGTTTGGTACCAATATCAATATTCTTTTTTTCAAATTTTTATGATATGTATTTATATTTTATTCAAAAATAAAAACATTATCATTTTCTCAAAACCACATAAAACCGTATTATATCGACTGAGACAAAAAAATGAAATATTAAAATCGAGATGTATCTCGTTGCATTGTGTGAATACCCTTCTAGTATGTGTGTGTATATATATATATATATATAGAGAGAGAGAGAGAGAGAGAGAGATGAGTATCAAATGTAACCCACTCATATTTGTACAAATCGTGCAAACTATTCTCATTCGTTGTTCGTTGATTTCATTGTTTAATCTTATGAAATTGTTTAATATAATACTTTTTTTGATGAAGTTGTTTCATATATGATTATGAAATTGCTTCATATAATACTTATGAAATTTTAATGAAACAGTTTAATGTATTTCTTTAAAATTAATATAATTAAGATGAAAATATTTATGATTAACACCTTCCATAATAAAAATAATTAATTAACTTTTCATAATTACAAAAAATGAACAAAATAAAAAATTATGATTAATTGAATAAGGTTTATACGACTTATACAAATAACATGATATATATATATATATATATATATATATATTTGGGGGTGTGTGCGAATGGGGGATGTCATGTCACCGTTTCCCTGGTATGATTGACCATCATGTGTAGTGCCGGTGTCTTCTTTTACCCTCTCATCACTTACTCACAATCAGAATTAGCCGTTATATATACTGTGTATCATTTTAATGATTAATTATTAATAAATCATAAAAATATAATATAAAATATATATTTTATTAGTTTATATAAATCATTAAAATGCGATTTTTCTATTTTATCAAATCAAACTCTCTTTTTAAAGTGTATGGTTATTCTTTGTTATTACCCATGCAAACAAATAACATCTTTATGCCTCGTCACTTTCTTATGGTCCATTTTTCATAAAATTGTTTAATTTTATTTGTAAAAATCTTATTCAATCAATCATTATTTTTTATTTTATTCATTTTTTTTATAATTATAAGAAGTTGATTAATTATTATAAAGAATATATTGGAGATGCTCTGATAAACAAAATGTAATAACCCCACCTTCCTATCCAAGAATGTAGGGGTGTGTGTGTAAAGTGTTAACATATAAGTTATAAGGGATTAAAACCCTCATGTCTTCCTACATTTGGTCGACGGTTTCCTTGGAGAAGCTCTAGGGAGAGAAGAGCATTGAGGAGATTGGTTTCATTTGGAGATTATTGAATAAGTGAAGATTTCAGAGTAAAAACACATCATTCTCAAGGTAAACCTTCTTCCCTCAAGCTTAGAGCCTCCATTAATGGAGTTCTGACAATGAATATGCATTGCTCTTGTTATTTTACTAATGTTTTCTATTAAGAAACCCACCATTGTTGATGGTTTCGATTTGAGATCAGGGATTTCAAGTTTTGAAGCTTAGAGTATTTGGCTTTTTGTTGAGCTTTGATGGATTAATCCATGATTGGTGTTTAAGATGATTTTGGACTTTGATCCTTATGTTTTTGAACCTTCAAAATGATTTGGGGATGATTGGATAAGGATTTCTAGTTAGATGTTGACTGCTGAAACCGTAGCTCAAACAGAAGCCTAGGCGACTTTACTCACTTCAAAAGTCACTTAAAGCACTGTTGAGTCCCACTTCAATTTTGCTTTGTTTCTTGATTCAGGGTAAGTTCGAAGTATTGTTCAGGGGACTATTTAAAGGATCGTAATAGATGGTTTTTGAGATAATTAAGATGGTTTAACACCAGTTTATGTCGGTTAATCCAGGTGTTCCGTTTAGGCTTTTTTTAGCTAATAGGAGGTGTGGTAGTGGGCTACGCCTCAGGTGAGTTCCCTTGATCCTTTTTACTAAATGTGGGATAATTTATGAATGTTTATAAAGTACATATGGTGTCATGGTTTGGTAATGATTACTTTGCATTAAATATACATTTAATACATGTGATATTGTTTTTGGATATGTGATTGAGTTTGCACAGTAGAATTAGCGTACCTTGAAATAGTGGAATCTCTTTGAGATAGATCCGTGTGCCTTGAATTTGTTTCATGGGCACATTGAATAGGCAATGGCATCTTCTTGGACCTTGGTTATGATGTCACAGTGAATTGAGTATGGTCTATGAACACTTTGCAAAGCCCGTTGTTTTGGTAATTGGTTATCCACTTGGATTTTTGGACCTTTATGGTGGTTTGATAACTTAAATGTCAATGCTTACCTATGTGGCTATCTGTGTTAAAGGGAATTCACTAAATTGTTGGTCTAACCCTCGTTTTTTAAATGTAAAACAATTTTTAAGCAAGTGTTATGTTGAGAGTTTTTCCAAGGGTAAAGGGAAGATTTCATGCACATAGTGGAGGCTTGGCTTAGAGTTTGGAGTTTAGTTTGTTTTCAGAATTGTAAAAATTTCAAGCTGTGCATGTGTTTACCGTTGTAATCATTTAAGATGTAGTGGTTACTTTTGACTTGTAATTTGGGGCTATTTTTGGCAAATTTCTACGATTGTTGCCATTTGTATTTTGGATTGTTACAGCAAATTAGCAAACTGCTAGGTGGACGATTTAATAGTCATGGGTGCACCCCCCCCCCCCCCCCCCCAAAAAAATGAATTGTAATTGTTATTCTACATATGTTAGATTTGAACCCTCATATGTTTGTGCATGCATATCACCCCAAGATCAACTATGGTACCCCATAAATCCGGTAACTCGACCTATCACAATGTTATTGGCTCAATCAGCCGTAGTGCCACTAACTCGACCATAAAAAGGGTTTTTGATGTCGTTTCTCTCATCCAACATGCTATTCACTGCCTATCGTCACATTTATTCTTTGATCCATGGATGGTGTTTTTATTTACAACAGTCATAAGAGTTAAGGGAACTTGATTTGTCGAAGACAAATTAGGAGTTGTTTACCAAACAGTCAAACACTTATCCGGTAAACGTTTATCAAGTCACGTTACTTTATTGAATGAACTTGGCAAAAACTGAGAATCTTACCTTATAGGGTGATGACAAAGACCGAGAGTCGTACTTGATAAGTGAGGGTGATGACTCTTACTCGATTAACGGTTACCCCGATAAATTGTTGTGTATGATATTGTTTTGATGGACTGAGACATTGTTTGGCAAAAATAAACTAACTTATTTTCTGGGTACATGTTTGGATGTACACAAGTCAGTTTATTGAAATGCTATTTGGAGTAGTATTTTGGTAGCTTATTGTAACTTTTTTTCAATTATTACTCTCATTAATATTAATTATCATTTATTACAATTAATTATAAATAAATATTAATAAAATTTAAATATTAATTAATGTAAATTAAAAATTAATCTTAATTATACATTAATAGTATTTATTGATTATTTATAATAATTGTCAATCATATCAATTGTTTTCATATTATTATATTTTTAGTTATCATTCAATATATTAAGTTATCAAAACGTAAATATAACAATATTAATAATCTTCATGTAATATAAAAATTAAAATTATATTTATTTTATTTCATAAATAATAAAAATATGTTAAATAATTTGAATATCTAACTTATTATCTAGTTTGCCAAACATAGCCTAAAATCGTACCCGACAAAGAAAATGATAGTGTTGAATCTGACTGTTAAGCATTTATCAGTTAAGTGTTTAAATTTTTATGATCCTATATAATATTTTAATTTAGAAAAATATAATATCATTCCTAAATTTTAAATTAATAGGAATAAAAGTATCAAATTTATTTGAAAATAGATCACATTCATATTTTTGTCTTTATTTATTTATTGCTTTTTGGAGATGTAAAGTGAGCCAGAGGAGTCGGTTAGCCGCGTGGTAGCGTAATGAGAATGAGCTGTTAGACCATCCACATCCCTGCAATCCATTTACACTTTCAATTGTGACACATCAGCTTTTGCAATTATCTTCTACATACTTGCAATTCACCTACACTTTCAAAAGTGGTCCCCACTACAACATTTATTAACTATTTTATAAATTATTTATATATACATTCTAATTATTTTTTAATTTAATAACATGTTTTATATGTAATTTTATAGCTTAGATTATATATACCTTAGATTATATGTAACTTTATCAATATTATATGTTTTAATAT